GCAAAATGGATTGCTCCTCTCGGCTCCAGTTGCTCAGGACTCATGGAGCCATATGGCAGATTGGCTCTGGGAACCAGTTTGGGTGTAGGCTAATCATTTTGTGGGAGGGTTAATTATTTTTCTGATATATCAGTGCTCTGATTCAGTTCATTGCATGGCTGCATGAACACTCATGCTGGCATGGGGAGAAGGAGCATTGCAAAGGGGATAGGCAGGGGGAGGAGAAACTGAGGGCAAGGCTGCACTTCCTTGAGCCAGTGCTGGTTTATGTCAGATCACAGTGATGCAGAACTAAGGTTTCTGAATTTACAGAGGATCCTGACAGAGCAAAACTAATGTTTTCTAAAGACTGTTGAAGACAGATAGCAGAGGAAGATGGAAACTGATTTTAAGGAGCTGATCTTCCAGTTATACAAAAAATCTGAGACTGATGGAAATATCTTAAAAAGGAACCTTTCAAAAACGATTTCTTTAATGCCAAACCAAAACAGAAAGCAGCATTCTGCCATTCCTCAGTCTGAATGAGCTCAAATGCAAGAACACGAGAGTTTGCTAAAAACACAAATGAAAACAAGTAGTTTCAAAAAGATAAACCAATCAGCACAAATGGCAAAGTAAATGAACATTTTAAAGAAACACAATCTAAACAACTTCAGGAATTATCTTTTAACAAAACGTCTTTTACTAATAGATTCCAGAGGACAAGTTTTTAAATGTTTCAGCATCCCATAAAAACATAAAAAATGCCTACTTCTGTTAGTGAATTATTGTTTGCCATGCATTAAACAGAAAAAAAGTGTTTCCTTTACAAATGATGCAATTTGCTTTTTACACCAGTATAATCTATTATTAGTCATCAAAAAAAATGCTTTGGACTTCCCAACAGTTTTAACTCCATCTGCCTAGCGGTTCTATTTTATACCTATCAAATTTAAGTGTAAAAATATGCTTTCAGTATTCTCATGCAGAAAGAGAGGAGGAAGAAAAGGTCTGAGGTCACAGCTGGAGGGGCTGTGTGGCATGCAAGTAAAGTGTACTTGCAAATTTGTGTGGGGTCCAAACACTCTGAGTCAACTCCAGTGTCATCATGGGATAAAACCACTAAGGCAGCTGCTGAGTTTCCTGAGGTATCTCCAGTGGTGTAATGAGAAAGCCACGAGGAAAACACATAAAGAATGTCTACATTATGAATTATAAAGAGTAAATGCCATGGGAACTTCGGCTTCCCATATTTCCTAATAAATGAGCAGAGACACATTTGAGATGGAAAGGCCACAAAGGCCTAAGAGGGATAAAATGATTTTTTTTAAAAAATAGACTACATCAGCTGAACTGTGGAACTTGCTGCCTTACAAGAGGAAATACAGCTGCCAGAAGTTCATACACTTTTTAACAACTCTATTATAGGAACTATGAAAGTGTCTGTGATGTTATGGTACTAAGAACAAATGTGTTTTGTTCTACAAGACATCAATTTTCAGAGTCCTGTAAAACATGGCACTGAGAAAAACAGGACTTTTACTCCATTAAAATTTTATTTCACATTTGCATATTTTGTAGTCAGTTTCTGATTCTTTGGATATAGTTGCTCAAAAAATACTAGTAATACTGACCTTAACCTGTTCCTCTTTCCTAGGCAGGAACAATGCTGTGTATCAGTTTTGAGGGATCTATTACCTTCTCCTAATTTAGCATTTCTCACCCTTCATTTTCTTGAGTCACCACAGAAAACATGGAAAAATAAATGAAACTATAATAGATGGCTGAGGGTTCTGTAATATCCTCCCAGTGACATTATCATGACATTGATGTCTCACAACTATCACAAACATTGATGTGGGGTATACCCACATGTTTATGCTTTTCAGCATGGAACAGACACTGGCTGTGGGTGATTTCCAGCTCAAGAGTTTAGGTTTCACAGAATTACTCTGAAGGTGCTAACTTGTTCCTTCCTTGTGATGAAGCAGTACTCCCTGGGCCCATAAACATCTATTCACATCCTGCAGTCATGCATCCCCTGTACTGATCCTATCCTGGAAATGCCTATCTTGATTCCTTTTCCAAACAACCATATTCTTACTAATTGAAAATAAAAGAAGAAAATGTGAAATCAATTGGATACACATCAGGATACACAAGCAGTATCTGCGCTTCTGGGCTCTGGCATTACCTACTATATAATTGCATCTGTGCTACTCTTTTCTAAATCAAATTAGACTCTTTTCTTAACAAATTAGTTAGATTTCCCCTGTATGCTGACAGCAAGAAATTCAAGGGATTTTAATAGTCTTATATCTGGGAAAATAAAGAAGACTAAAAAAAACCAATGGATTTTTCTGTGTGGCAACTTAAATGACCAAGTCAGTCTTCCTTCTTTTAGTTGTCTATTAATATGCCAAGGAGTCACAAAGTTGAGATGTAAGAACATGCTGGGTTAACACATTTTTTGTCCCCTTATTTCATCCTCTTTCCAACAAGCACCCTCTAATTCTCATGGAATGTTTTAGCAAACTCTATTTCATTATTTTCTAAAACATTCCCAGTGATTTTTGCCAGGCTCACTCCCCTAGAGAAACAACCTCTGGAAGACAAGCCCTTGGTGGACATCTCCTTATAAAGGATTCCCCAAATTGACCGGTGGGAAGAGAATGCAATTTGAAATAAATTGCAAAATAAACTCCTATGGATCTGAGAGGCTTCCAGAGAACACATGGTCGACACTGCCCCGCAGTAACTTTGGTTTACTTGAAGCTTCTCTGCTCTACAGCTCATGCTCTCACAAGAATGATTGACATGCAGGATTTGCCACCCTTCCATAACAGCGGACCAAAAACACTCTGCCAAGGTCATTGCCCTTGGAATGAAAAATATCTAAGGAGAGACAGTGCTTTCTCCCTTCTCTTCCTTGCTCCTTTCTAAGCCACCACTTTCCCCTCTCCAAAGCCAAAGCAATGCATTGTATGTAGTGTGGTCCAGCACAGCATTTTTATTTTCTTCCCATATTTTGGCTTGTGGGGTTTTTTTGTAGTCCACAAGACTGCCTAAGGAAGGGAGGCCCACATGAAAGAAAACCCAAAGCCTAAAATAATGAGTCTGGCTCAGAAGAACAAGAGACATTTTTACACATCACAGCCAACTTGCTAGCCTTTGTGCAATGGTCTAAGTTGTGATATATGATTTATTAATTTGTTTTTCTACTCATTTACATTTCATATTGCAAGACAATTTTTAAAAAAAATTGACAGAGCACTATTTTACTTCATAACGGATTTGCAGAAGACTTAATCACTCTTATTTTGTACAGAAATCCAAACACTGCCTCATTAAACAACAGTGCTTGTTGAAGAGAAAGTGCTTCAAACTCAGACCTAAGACAGACACGCACATCCTAAAAGACTCCATCTTGAGCCCAATTTTCCTTTTATCCTGCACTGAACTGCATGCAGAGTCACGCTAGCTGAACAGCGTTTTTAAGAGGTTTTGAAGGCCTGGAAATGCTCTGCATGTTTGCTGCTTTACATCTGTGAGCGCCGGAGTCAGCGAGCCCCGGGCAGGCTCAGTGTCAGACCGCCCTCTCACGGCAAGCACCAGGGCAGGAGCCCATGAGAAAGATGTCAGAGAGGGTCTCTTATCCCTAATATATGCAGGCATCAGCACATACAACCAGGACCTTCCAAACTTCAAGTTGGAAGCAGTTTTTATGCTCTGGCTTCTCTGCCAAAATGACACAAGTATCGCTTTCTCATTGTCGGCGCGTCGCGCTGGAGTTTTGCTGCCTTTTGTCCTTGCGCTCAGCAGAATTTGGCACAGGGACTGGATCTGCCATCCCTCCTTCTGTACTCTAGGTCTTGTAAATTCTGGCCTCATCAAAGCACTGTGATGAATGTCTTAATAGCCTTGTATCTATCATGGCTTGAAACAATCATACAGGGCACTGCAACAGAACAGTGCACAGCACTGTTACTGTTACTTACCTGCTCTCATTCACCCTTTATCTCTTCCATTCCCACCTTATCCCAGTCATATCCATCAGGGAGGACTAATACAGAATCAATTCTGTTAGTCTCTGACAAAGTAAGAGAAAATAGCACTGCTGCACCAGTATAAAAGAGATTGCAATCCAGAGCAGAATCTGTATCTTCAGCTGCACATTAAAGAATATCATGACTCTCTGGCATTTCTGAAAGAAAACTACACCAATTCAATCACTTTTTCTCCATATTGGGATTTAAGTCCTAGACTATCAAACATATATCAGCATTGCTTTGAAACAATAACAGATAGGTATGTCACAGTTGTTTTGTTACTTGTTGTATAGAAAACATATTACACAGAAGATAAAACATCACACAGAGGATAAAGCACGTCACACAGAGGATTGGACAGTAGCTGCAACTTCAAGAGATGAATAGAAATACACCTAATTTTTCATAAGGACACCAAGTAGTCAATTCTTTTGGGACAAAATGTAGTACAAAACTAGGCTCAGGAAACCATAATTGATGCCTGAGTGAGGTAGGAATTATTATAATCATCTTCTCATACTATCATTTAACATACAATACCTGTTCTGAAATGTTGCATCGTGTTTGAGCTGCTTGCCAGTTTGAAGGTTTACACTTACAAAGAAGCTAAACTGACAGTACCTAGCCCATAAATGAAGTAATATCCTTGTGAAACCCACTACAAAGTCAGACAATATACTGCAAGGGAAATCTATGTATTTCAATTTGTTGCTGCAAAGCTGGATGGGCTGGCAACTATACAGCCAGAACTCCAAAATATTTCCATCCCTGCTGCATGTCAATGAGTATGGAAAAAACCTCAGGGCTGACAGCACTCAGAAGCATGATGAGATGGATATTAATTTTACAATAAGAAGGATTTCTTTTGCACTGCTATTGCAATACTTCTTTGCTGCTGGATGATGTTTTGCTTGTGCATGTGCATGCGAGACACTCTGGCAGCAGCTGAAATAAGGAAGGAAAGAGGCTTACCTTGTGTTGTCCCGTCCAGTCCCATGAGACATCTCATTGCCCTGATGATTTGCTCTGCTACGGGGGGACACATAGATGTGGCGTACACAGCACTATGAGAATGAGTTCGTAAAAAGTCCACAAGGTCCTTACACAAGCAAAACAAAGCATGAATGAGCTTTGAGCTGACCAAACAGCAGATCTCCCTCTTAACTACTGCAGGAGTGGGAATGTGCAAAAGGAAGAGGCTGTTTCACCAGCTATTGGATTGCATTCTTGGCTGCCACTGTTAATACATGGCCTGAAGAAACATCAGGCAGGTCCAAATGCTTTACTATATAAGTGGGACAATTACAGCTGAAACAAAAGTCTGGAATAGAATAATGTTTACTTCTGTGCTCAGACTTATTATAAAGGAGCCAAAATAATTTCAAGACCAATGAACAGCCTCACTTAAAATAATGCTGCGCAGTTTGCCTGTGGTAATGGAACAAAGGCTATGTGACATCAGTATAGGTACTCTGCTACGTGACCTAGCCCAGGAAAAGCAACCTCACTGTGATCTATCTTTGTCTACAAGCACACAAATTTTTAATCAAAACCTTCAATCAGTGTGGCAGGTACAGTGATGTCAGAGTTGGTATAATTAATTTTAACATTTCCTAAGAACAGAACCTGTCCTCTTAGAAAACCATTGATATGCTGTAGGCATGCCTAAAACACCAGTAACTCTCCTGAATTCAGGCAGGCAGCAGGAATTCAGATCTTACTAAGATCATCATTGTTGCAACAACTTATATTTCCTAGCGCAAAATATCAGAGTAACAGTTACCACACCAAAAGCTGAGTGCATGTTAGTGAGAAAGGGATGAAGCCTGCTTGAAAATTGACTTTGATGAAAAAATATAATCAGAAAAGAAAATACAGTGAGAGTAACACACATTACTACCAAAATACTGTATGAGTCTATGCAGTAACTCCAGTGCTGAGGATAAAGATTTAGCTAACCTTACACAGGTTGTGCATGGCCATATTGCAATTGTATTCCTAAGGGTTTGGCTAAAAGCTAAGAAGGCTCCTGGGCTCCAGCTGATGCAGAATAAACAGCATCACTGTGAGTTTTTTGCTACAGAAAGGAATGTAAGTGGGTGAATGAGTGACCAGCTTTTCAAGGCTGAGAAGCCTGAGGCAACGCTTAGTGATACACACAGGTGTGAAGAGAGTGACCTGTTTTCTCTAAAATAAAACTCCCAAGGATTAGAGGATAAATTACATTAAACTACTTTTAACAGGTCTAATCTTTCTCTACTTTCTAGTTACATTACACACATTATTTCTGGTAAGAAATAAATGTACAAATACAAATTCAGGAAGCCAAGGAAACAAAGAAAATTGATTCTTGATATATTATGACACTTGGTTTTAAGATCTCCAGGGGCAAACCCAAAGAAGACAGTAATAAATACACAGTTTATACTTTCTTATAGCTCTTTTATTCTACTGTAGGGCTACCCTTATTAATGTTATCCTGAGAACAACCATATGGGCTGAATAAACAGGCTTCCCACTCATTCAGCAGACTGCTTAAAAACTGCATTCAGCTGCGTATGAAAAGAGAAAATAATCAGCAACCATTTGATCTCTCTGTCTAGCAACAAAACCAATAACATTTCACAATGGTGCTGATTATGCTTTCTTTTCTACACCCCCAGTTAAAGCAAGCCCAGCTCTACTTTTTGTTGACATCTGTTGTTGGCAGGAGATTGTTAATGTATGCGGAGCAAGTGAGGACACAGAATTTACTATTGCAAAAGGCCCCCAGTAACCTCGTTCTCCATTCTCCTAAAAAATGCAACTATGTCAATTCACAACTCTTCAGGAATTTTATTATCAGCGGATGAAACTGTGGTTTTAATCTCACAATATTGCTTCAAATACTGTTTACAAATGTGAAACAAAGTAATGAGCAATCCACATGCAAATGAATGTAGTGAAGTATATTAGCCAACCACAACATGTCCAAACATTTCCAAGACAAACAACAATCATCAGAGTGGCACAGAATAATCCAACTCAAGCAAATTACATAATATGAACATGAGACAAAAATAAGAAAGTCTGACTGCTTGATGTGCATTTAGGATCCAAGCAAAAATGCTGCTAACTTTAGAACAGTGCTCTTGTTAAGCAGTCTGTTCAAAAAGATACTGAAATATATCATACATCATACAAAAGCAGTTCCCACACCCTTGATGTGAAATTGTTTATGATTTCCTCTTACCTTTTTGCCAGCTATGTATCCTCCAGCTGCACCAAAGCTCTTTGTGAACGTTCCCATTAATACGTCCACGTCATTGGGACTCATTCCGAAGTATTCCACAACTCCTCGGCCCGTTGCTCCCACTGCACCAATGCTGTGAGCTTCATCCAAGTAGAGGTATGCTTTGTATTTGTTCTTCAAGGAGACGATCTCTGGCAGACGCACGATGGACCCTTCCATGCTGCACATGGAGAGAATCGGGGGTGAACAACAAACCCTGTACCCTTTCCTTCCCCATACTGGCAGAAAATACAGTCATTAATTGCCTTAGTCCACCAATGTTCTTCTGGAATCTCGATTTTTATTTACAAGCCAAAAAAAAAAAAAAACTCTCAACCCATTCTCACTTGCAGGTGAGTACAAAACAGTTAAACAGTTTTAGAATTCAAACATTGAAAACAAGTCAAAAAGTCTTTGAATGTTTGTGAATTGTCAACATGTCAGAGGAGAGAAGGAAAGGTGTAAAGCAAGGCAGAGATACTTATCCTAAAAAGCACACTACAGTTCATTTCTACAAAACAAATATTATAAAGAACAGCTATAATTCAGTCTGGGACTTGCTTACTTAATCATCAGCTACTGTGGCAAAATTTGGGCATAACAGCTCTAGACTAAATTCATCTGGTGCAGAGGAGTTGGGTCCAACATACACTGGAGATGGGCCATGTGAAACCCACAGCTGGTGCCATAAACTCTAAGCATTCCCAGTCTTCACAGAATCAGGGCTTAAAACAGGCAGCTGAAATCCAGTCTTGCCAACTTTTACTTTGATATGAACTTTTTAGGAAATGTAGCTTGCTACACAGTAATCAAAAGTAAAAAAAAGTTTCCAATCCTTTTTTTTTCTTTCTTTCTTTCTAAATATTCAGAACTGGCACAGGTTGTCCAGAGAAGTTGGCAGCGTTCTAGGCCAGGTTGGCTGCAGCTCTGAGCAACCTGGTTCAGTGGAAGATGTCCCTGTCCCTGGCAGGGGGGTTGGAACAAGATGAGCTTTCAGGTCCCTTCCAACCCAGACCATTCCATGATTCTGTGATTAATGGTGTATTGAGATTCATAGAAATGAGAATAGATGCTCTTTTGCACTGCTGGTGGTCATGTCAGTAAATGGGAAGGCACAGAGGAGGTATCCAGCAAAATGAAAGCGCAGGGAGATAAATAAGAAATGCTCTCTGACCCTATAAAGATGACATATGCAGAGTATTTCTGTGAAAACTTGTGTCTTGAAAACCTTTGTGAGATGACTACAGCTATGCTTTGATATGCTCAGATGCACTCAGTATTCATTTCATAATGAGTTGATTGTGTTCTCTTCCACTAGCTCTAGTAAGCAGGTCTTTAAAAGCTAAAAACTTCTTATCAAATACAAAATCAGTGTGCCACGGGCCAGGGAAACTAGGGCTCTGCAGCTAAGCCAACAGCTAAGGTGTATCCACTTGCAAATGCAACAAGTTTCAGATGACCAGAAACATGGACTTTGGTCCCAAACAGCAAGTACAAAAGAGAAGTGCAATCAAAAGCGTCTTGGAAATTTTTGGACCTGTGACCAATGGCTTTCACAGGCTGCTTTGTTGCCACTTTACTTGTACTGTGCAGTTTGACACCACAAAACGAGCACAATGTGTTTTTAGCACTCGAGAAATTTCGTACAATTTTAGTCCTTTTTCATCTTTTGGTCTCCTGAGTAAACTTGGAAACTGGTCTCCAGTTTTGAAGGAGACCTGCCCAAAGACAAGTCTCCATTAGTGTAACAGCATGGGGGAGTAACCATAGACAAGGGTTGCCTGTGCTGTTCACACTAGGAGAGAGTCTGGCTGTGTGTGCCTAGAGGCATATTTTTGGCTGTTGGTGACTGCTGGCAAATCATGTCCTTCTCTCTTGCCCAGCCATAAAAGAGGCAGCTGTAGGACTGTGTGTTGGCACCACGGCCCCTTGCAGCAAAGAAGGGTGGACTTGTACTCCTGAGGACAGGGCTTTCTCACTTTTCCCAAACAGCACTTGGCACTGGGGGAGAAGCAACTTAAACCACCCTGGCTATTTTCCTAGTGAATACAAGGGCAGGGCCCACAGTCCTCACATAGCCCAGAGTCAAAGCATTAGTCAGCTAAAATGACACTGAGCCACTGGATGTGCTTGGACGTGCACCATCGTATGTGCTGGGCTTGGCAGCTTCCAGCTGTGTCTGGTCGGTCTGCAGGGAGAGCCCAGGAGCACCTCAGAAACTGCAATCCCACCCTCCACCTTCCTGCAACGCTTGGGCACAACAGCCAGGCAGAGAAGGACAATAATAATTTTTCCACATTTATATGGTCATCATTAGGCTTAGTGGCTAATGGATGTTCAGGCAGGAGAGACAGCATTTAACTTCAAAAAGAGTAAAACACACTAAATTAAAAATGTTGGGTATTTGTGTAATGGAAGGAAAGTTGTGCTGAATCCCAGAATACATGAAGCTGGTACATGGCTGATGCAAGATTTAACCATTCAGATTTAATGAAAACTTTTCTTTCTCATATGAGTAGATTTCTCTTGGAACTCTAAGCTGCTTAGCAAAACAAGACACTTGTATTCAGTTTCAGTTTTGATCTACTGCTCTTGAAAGATGCTGGCTGACATAAATGCAATAGTTGACAGAGGTCCTGATGTGGCCTTGAAGCATCCATGGAGCAGATAAAGTGCTGCTGGGATCCTGTTTGCATTCTGTGCTGCCATTCCAGCAGGTCTCAGCCATCCTGATGACAGAGATGAGAATGGTTTTGCTGCCAGCTCTGGTCTTGGTCTCTCTTTTGACTGTAGGAGATGGTCAGTGATATGCATATCACTCTCTCTAGAATTGCTTCAAGATAAAAGCTCACTTCACATAACGCCTTGAGTAGCCCAAATGGAAAGTTTACTGAATCGCCCAGTAAATGTTTATGTCAAGTGAGCTTGAATTAAAGAGGCAGAAGTGAACTGTACTGGTTCTGTCTCACTCTGGGCCTCTTAGCTTTGTGTACAAAGTGTACTGATCTGTTTCCAGATCTGCTCAAGCACACGGGGCATATAAAAACCCCCAGATGCAGATGAACTAAAGCTGGCTCTGCCCAGGCCAGGTGCTCTTATTAAGTGGAATGACGTCCTGTCTGGCAGCACAAATTCCTAGCTTGGTGGCAGGGATGGAAAGCTTCTAGATTGCAGCTGACCCTCATCTCCCTTGTGTGGTGGACAGGCACAGAAACTTGGGTCAGTACACACTCATTCTGAACGTACTTCCAGATGTGAGGAGATAATCCTAAATGTTTAGAACACTCCAGTTTGAAACTTGATTCAATCTCTACCAAAGCACCGATGTTCTCCCTGATGCAGCTGTTGAAGTGTGGATCCAGGTGCTTTGAGAGACAGGAGGGGTGTGCTTGCAATGGTCACTTCACTTGGAATACAGGCTCACTCTTGCCATGATATTGATCGGTTTTTTGCCCAGTTTATCTGGAAATTTCTTGGGAAAAGGGGTTTCTACATTCTATTATGGTACCACATCTTTTTTTTTTTTTTTTTTCCTGTCAGGAAAATTAATTTACAAATATTCCACCTCTTATCTACTTCATCTCTAAACATGCCCTAGAGTACCACTATCTTTTCAACATTTGAAGAGTTTATCTGTTCCTCTTTCAGGCTAGTTTGTAATTGGGAAAAATCCCTCCTTTCCTGGCCTGCTACTCACAAGACATATACATTCCACTTTAACAGTTACTTTAGGCACCGTTTTCTTACATAAACTTTGTACATTCATACAACAATCTCTGTTTTGTAGTTTAGAGTAATAATTTTAAGGAAATCTTTCAACTCTGCCCTCAAATACAACTCTGTTTCAACACTGAAATTATAGAAATTTTAACCTTTAATGCTGGTCCTTGGCCAAAGACATTAAATGTTACCTCATGATTTTTTTTCTGGAAGTCCAGTCACCTAATCCCAGGAAATAAAAAATAACCCTGCTAAATTTCCTACACTATTGGCATTGAATCCCAAGGAACTTCTAATGCACATGAAAAGGCATTGGACAATATCTAACTGATCAGAGCCATTTTCTTAGCTGGAAGGGAAAATACACAAATTAAATTAAAAGTAAGGAAAAAACAAATGAAAACCAACCTGTTTCGATCAATTTCTGATGCTCCATAACTTCTGCCCTGAGCCTTGGCCTATCTGACTCCTAAGTAAACATGCATGGAAGAGAGCAGAAGCCTACCACAACCCATGTAAGAACATAGTAACTGATTAATCCTAAACTGGAAATGGTAGAAGCCAAGGAAAACATTAGCTGGAATTCAAATAATAAAAATAATATTTAGTAAGCCAGTTTAACTTGTACCCTGGTTACTGCCAAAACTTGTTCATGCTTTTTGGAGTCAAGATTGATGGCTAGATGGTCTCCCTCAGTTTGGAACACAAATGGAATATATTTGCTCCTAGGCTGGTCCAAGTTAAAAACCAGCTTTCACTAGGAGTTCTATTTACTTTTGATGATTTTTTTTCTTTTTAAGATAATAGAGACATTAAAAAGTAAACACAAATATACTTAATGCTATTTATTTGACATGTAGCTTGAGTGCTTCCCAAGTCGAGGGGCCAATTTTGCATTCAGTTGTAAGCAAGCAAAATCTTTGGTTTATGGTTCCAAACACAAGTCTGATTTCCAGAAATGCTCATGTTGGCTAACAATGACCCTTTTCAAATTTTGCCAGCTGGTAAGTGTAAACATTTTAAGATACTCCTAAATGGAAACAGAAGTCAAATTTCTTTCCATACCATAAACCTCACCATACTAAGACTATAGTGTCCCATATAACAGTATTTTTTTAAAGAAGGCAAGCTTAGTGTTTTCTTTTACATCTCTGGAAAAAGCATTTCTGCAAAAATTTGCCAGGGCAAACTTGCAAATCCAGATATTTTAACGTGGAGAATGGCTCTGACCAAGTTATTTAAATTCAATATTTGCTGTCCCTGAAGCATAACTTAAGGAAAAGAATAAAAAGCAGTATTAACTATTGTAAGAAGAATACATTAACTGCACTCTAACTCCTCTTAAACCCTCGTGATGAATGTTAATTTGACATTTGGCAAAGCTTCAAGAAAAATATCATTAGCCAATATGGGGCTGGAAAAATTTAGTCTTTCAAAAACCTGGGCCAAGAAAGGAAAGAACATACATACAGAAAGAGTAAGAGTATTTCTACTCTGTACTTCTCCAATTTTTTTAGTTTGGTTTTTTTTTTGGTTTTTTTTTTTTTTTTTAGGTTTTTTTTGGCATATGAAATATTCTTTGCTACCAACTGGCTCAGACTACCCAGGCTGTAAGCCTGTTCCTGACAGTGCAGCAGCAGGGACACAGCAAGATGGCACATGGTGGCATCTGCCCTCAAGACACAGCAAATTTACTTTACAACTAAACCACACTCTCCAATTTCTAATCTGCTTAGACTGCAAAAACAACTAACTTACCAGTCTATCTATTTCTAGGGATAGTTTCCAACTAGAGACTATCAGAGACTTGAGCTTTGCTTTTCAGAACCGTATGCCTTTCAGAAGTGAAGACACTCAGGGCATGAATGGTCTTAACATTATTTAACCTTTATGCAGCAGAAGGAACTTTATGGTTCTTTTAAGTAGGTACTCTGAGGTTTAAGGTGCTTTTATTTTGCATTCCAACAGAAGGTTTTTGAATTCTGGCAAATTAAATCTCATTTGAGAATGAACTGTAAAACTACAGGAAAACTCTACGCTGAACATAAATCTGGAAATACAGTTATAAGTTAGTATAGTTAAATAGCTGACAATGGGTTTGTTCCACTTCTTGGACTGACCCACACCTCTGTGTTACCAGTCTTCTCGTTCCCTAGTGGTCAATATTCAGGGCAAAGGATTTAAAAGTGAACAAAGCTCAGCAGCTGGAGCCTTTTCTGCCAGCCATGTGACCCCTGGGAACATTTGTCAGTAAAATGTTGGTGGTCCACTTAATTTCTGCATGATCAAAGTCCTTAAATCCAAGCTTTCTTTTAGTAGCACCAAGCGATGTATATTTGTAGTTTTGCTGTGTTTATTCTGGTTGAAAGGACATGTTCAGCCTGCTTTGGATCAGCTGATCTGCTGATCCTGTTTCACCTCTGAGTGACAGGTGTTTAGATAAGGACCGATTTTGCAGATGGAAAATGTTAGGCAAAAAGAAAGCACTGACAACTATGAAGTTGTGATGACATGAGCTCCTAGAAGATTTCTTACACAAAAAAAGCTAATTGGCTAAGCTATGCCAGCATTTTGCAGTAAAATGGCATAAGTGACTGCCCATCGAGACTGGCTGTATTGCAGCAACACGATACAGTCCCCACATATAAAGTTTTAATGTCACTTTTATAAACCCTGTCATGTCCAGTGAATGAGTGGTTCTGGTTTCCTTCTCTCTGGGGCACGTGTTGCTACTCCCCAAACCAACTTTGTCCTGCTCCCCCATCTCCTGTCATCACTGCAGTAGCTTTGCCTACATCTCTGCAAATGCTCTTTCTGTTCACACCCCTTCTTCTTCAGCCCTTCCTGCTTTCCCTTCTCCCAACTCCCGCCTGTGAGTGGCTCCTCCTCCATGAGCTCCCTGGATGCTTTCCCCAGACCTTCTCCAGGCTGGAGCAGTTGCCAGGATGAAGCCCAGGATGATGAGCCTGGCTGGTGCCACTGCTTTGCTGCTGAACTCCAGTGGCTGTTTGCCTTTCTGGCTGGGTGTAAGCTGCCCCACAGTGAAGTGTAATAACAGTGGGTGTACACAGTGGGTGTAAGTGTAAGCATGCACTACACCGTGTAGCTATCTGACTTAGGTGCTCTACAATTACATTGTGTTATTGAAGCTCCTATCAGATGGATTCTCAAAGGCGTTTCTCTCATTTGAATTCCTCCAGGGACTAGGACTATGTTAAATACCACTATATAATTCTTTGGAAACCAGTCTTTCGATTTTCCTGTTAAATTGTGAGTTTATTAGCTCCAGCAGTAGTTACAAAAAAGGTGCTGATATCACATAACCTAAGTTTAGCTTAAGATTTCAACAGCTGGGCAAGAACTGGGCATGCAGAACTTAATTCTATGTAGTTGTCTTTTGATCTGCCCACGTGTAACAAACAACTCTAGAAAGCTTGGCTTACTCAGCAGAACTCCTTACCAACTATAGTTCCACAAACTTTATCACATCTATCAAAACATACTTCACTTTACCTGTCTTGCTGTCAGTATATCTCCCACTTAACTGTGATGTGCTAAATCAACATTCAGAACAATGTACAGGATCTAATTGGAGCTACGGGACACAAGGTTCAGGCTGTCATAAGGAAATCAACTTATTCATGAGATCACAGAAATTTATTGCAACTTCCATCCACTCTCATTAAGATTTCCCTCAGATACCTAGAGTCAGAGTTTACCCCACTCAATTAATCATTTTGTCCTCAGAAATGATAGAATACTCATCTTTCTACAACACAAACATACCTGTAAATGCCCTCCACGAGGATGATAATTTTTCTCCATGCTCTGTGAGTGCGAGGCTGTCCATATATTATTGCATCTCTCAGCAACTTCTCGAGGCTCTGCATATCTTTATTTAAAAATAAGAAAAAGGAGGAAGGAAAACCATTAACAGTTTTTTGTCAAGAACTTTCAATTTTCTCTTGGGTGCTATTTTTCCTATTCAGAAAAAGATTACATTAAAAGACAACATTAAAAAAATAAAGAAGAGTGTCCTAAAGATGAACTTCTTTTATTAGTAGGCGATGAACTTCTTTTATTAGTAGGCAAGACTCAACATTGGTCTATGGTGTGAATGCAATTTAGTGACACGAAGAGTTATAAAAAGGTTCCAGTTATGCACCTGATCTGGGCAACTTCTAGAAATACTCATCATTCATCTGTCTTTAAAGGCAAAAGGGAATCACTTTGCTTCAGTTCTAAGGCTAACTGTCCACAGTTCTGTTTAGAGGCTGCTGACACTCGTAATTTATCAAGGCTTCAGTTGTGAGTTTTGGTTGCTTTCCAACCACAAGCTCACAAACAATAACCATTTTTTCAGCAAAGGTTTTGACAAGGTTGCACAAAGCACGTAAGGATGGCAGCAAGAGAAGCCTTGTCCTCCTCAAGAAGGAAAGCAGGTGTAAGGTTGCTGATGAGAGAGGAATAGGCAGGTGGATACAAGCACCTGGCATGGATACACTAATCTGGTGCCTAAATGCTTGGCACTGCTGGGACTTCAATATAAGGAGGCCTGAAACAAGGTTATGATCCTTAGCTGCTTCTTTAAGGGCTGAGTGTGGGTCATCAAAAATATCGTGAAGGAAAACCATTGAGATTTTGAAAAATATGGAAGAAGCAAGAAAAAATACCACAGAAATCAGGGTCAGGCCAAATGTGACTCTCAATGCACCAGCATTCTGGTGTCTCCAATGAATGGACACTCTTCAAAAGGAACTTTTCAGAAATCTGGATTGGCATTTCAAAATGTTTTCCAAGAACATCCAAGAGAGTCTCACAATACCCAAATGACACTACAGATCAGCTCAAACTGTGGGCTGAGAAAATCAATGGCATTTTTCCACCATATAACCCCATTTGCTTCAGCAACACATCTTAACACAGTCGATACAACCTTCTACAATAACACAAAGTTAATGTGTAAAATGAAGTGTCCAGAGGAAAAAAAAAAATACACCTTAGAAATATTAATATTGATCCATAGTTTGGTTTCTGCCCTAAGGGAATGGAGCCATCTGCACATTAATTGCCCATTGTTAATAACCTGTGCCCTGAGAGATGGCCAGGTTATGACATGAACCCTTCCACATCCTGACGCCTCACCCATTCCTAGGAACATTCAGCGATGTGGGTGGAAGGTAAAGTTCTCAGTAAGGAAACTGCCACTCTGCACCTGACCTAGCAAGTCCCTGCTGTACCCTACAAAGCACAAAACAGGCATGGACAATATCAGTTGCCCCTTCTATCAGTGGTGCAATGGCCTGCACACCTCAGTGAGCTCTGAGATGGAAAATGCTGCTAGGAATAATGCAATGCAGACAGCACACTTTCCACTAGATGGCAATCAAGGAAATGAAAGTTCTTTAGTGCTTCATATGGGGAAGTTATAACCAAACTGAGAATTTGCAGCCGCTCACGTTCTCTTTTGCTTCAAGTAGATAATATTTAGAATTCTCTTAAGAGGTTCCCTCGGGATGACAGAGAGCTCACAGTAAAATTTGGACACCCCCTTTTCTCCACCAAATTATTCTCTACTGATGTCACTATCTTCTAAATCCTTTTGGGACCTTTGAACCCCTTTTCTGAATCACAGAGTTTTCCAATTCAGTGTTCTATGTGTCAGTCCAGATTGGCTCCTGACTTCAGAAAAGTCATTTTGCCTCTGAGCTAAAAGCATGGCTTGAAGATTCAGTTGTTTTAGCACATACACATGAAAAGAAAAAAAAAGGAGAGAGGAAATTAAGTGAAATGTGTATAATTCTGTTTTTAAAAACACATGTCTGTGAATAGGTCCTCTGTCCAAACTACTGTGCGACATGAGACCTCAGACTGGGGAGAACCTCTCCAAGAGACAAGGTTCCCTGATTTTACACATAATATAGTCCTGCTAGAGTACAGGCTAAGAACATGTCTGTTTGCAGGATCAGGGCTATCTCAATTTCTTTCTGACATCTCATTTTGAAAAACATATATGTGTGACCCTTTCTGAAACCTGTAATAGTCAACACATAATTTGTTCATGTGCAAATGAATTATACTGATCTATAAACTGCCTCATTTGGAAAGGGGAAATAGGCAGAAAGAAAAAAAAATCTTTAGTATTCCCCACAAAAGGCTGTTTCTGTTCTTCAAGGTGAAAACGGTGCTCTATGTGCTTGTGCTTAAGCTTTCCAGAAAGTGGGATATACTGAATGCCAGGGAAAACAACAGCACAACCCAGATGACTTTCAGATATCAAATTATTTACTCATTAAATATAGTTAGATTGAGAGATGTTAGGCTATGAAGATGATGAGCTGCACGAGTCCATCTGGAATAACCAGTTATAGAGAAAATAACAGTCCTTCCTTGTTTGACCATCACCAGCACAGGGTCTTCAGCAGCAATGGCCAACAACTGCTCACCAGCCCAGGAAGTGGTATTAAGAATTTGACTTGATTAATCAGTCAAAGCACAATCCAATATACCCACGTTTCACTTTCCCCCTTTTCCTTATAGCACATTCCCCTATATGGAGGCTAAAGTTTCCTAAGAGGGGACAGCGGATCTATCAGTGGGTTGGTGGACTTGCATAATCCTTGTTTGGGATCTGTCATAGTTAAATGCAGAGCAATACCAAGAACACAACCTGCCAGTGGGCTGAAGCAAGTCTGGACCTGGGCAGGCAGCGTGTCATACTGCCTCCAGTGCAGGTGGGACAGAGGCTTCTGGAGGGAGCACGGCATGCTCAGGGAGACACCATGTCTCCACCCCTCATCCTTACACTGCAATGCTGGGAATGTCATCATCGTGTCTCCGTGTGGGCTGGAAACCTCCTGTGTGATGTCAGCTGAATCCTGTTTAATTAAAATAAAGAGGCTGCTGCTACTCTTGTCACATTCTTCTTTTTGCTTTGCGCTTGTAACTCTGATTTTCAGTTTCTCCCCTTTTGCACTCTCGTGCATGGTGGCACAGACAAATATCTTTGTTAAGACCTTGAGAGTGGTGATCACCGCAGCCACAGCAACAGTCTGAGACTCCCCTGCCTGCCCCTCAATAAATACTAATCTCTGTGAAAGTAAAGGGCAATGGCTCAAGAGAGCTGCCTGTCCATACCTGGCCAGTCAGATGTCGCTTTCTCAAAGCAGAGAGGGCAGACACGGTGTGCAGGGAGCAGGACAGACCAGTCTCCTTGCCGTGGCAGCGTCTGTATGTGTCACAGGGAATTACACACCCAACTGGATTGGGCTGCAGTCCACCTATCTGGGCAGCAATCTTGTCTCTGATAGTGGCCAGAGGCTTCCAGGAGCACAAAACTTTAGTGGGTAATGTGCCTTTCATCCTGCTCTGTAATAGCTGTTAACACTGCCCTCCCTTCTGAAATTCAAGGGCTACCTACACAGTTGGGAAAAAAATTAAAAATTAAGGAACTGTCTTGTACTAAGCCACCACAAACTCCTGGTGTTTTGCAACCAAAGAGATCTCTTTCTAATTTTTACCTGTTTATATATCACTTCAATTTCCCCCCTATTTTATTTGCTTGCTTAACTAGTTGCACTTAGTTTTCCACTTTCCTATTTTTTTTCCCCTTTTATTTCCTTCTTTTTAGCTAGAGAATATATTTGCTATGAAAGGTGAAGGCCTTCTGCAACCTAGAAGTTCCTTCACTATTAACCACAGCTCCTCCAGGTAGCTGTGCATTCTCAAGGTGTCCTCATGGCACTTGTATCTGAACTGCAAAGCAGTAATTTGACTGAGTAGACTGAGAAATGCCAGAGTTGGATTAACATAAATTCACAACTGTTGTCCAAGCTGGAAACTGTGTTTTGCATGGAAACCTGGACAGCTCACACCTGCATCACAAACTTGTCATCAACTACTTGATCTGTGAGAAAATAAAGTCCCTTACTACTTTCACAACATTGAAAAGGTGCATGAGGAGGAGCTAGGAGTGTATTGCCCTGATTGCCACTTCAGATGCAGATCCAAGCACCAGATTACAGGCTGGATTTTCACCTAACCAATGTGCTTGGTTATACTTTGCAATTTCCTGCCTTCCTCATAGGATCACTTGCTCTGACTGCTCAGTGAATGCAATGCATTGCAATCCCTTGCAATGAAGAGAACAGCAAATATTTTTTTCCCCATGGCCTGAGTTCTGTACCTTGTCACAACATTCCCACAGACTTTTCATTTGCAAATCTAAACCTGAAAACAGGACTGCAGTTGAGTTGCTTGATGCTACATGGGGAAAATGTAGTAGAATTAGAAAGATTGAATTAGAATTAGAAAGAATTAGAAAGATCCTGAGCCTTGTATGGTGACTTATTTTACAGGCTGGTAAGAATAGAACTCACTTGGATATAATTAGTCCATAACACACTCATCTGTTCACTGAAGGAGTACCTGATACCAGTATAAGACCCAGAAATGCTGTGAGAGAAACACCTTGATAAAATCACAGGCTGTTTAATGGTTAAGTATTTGGTTTTGCTTTTCAGGTTTTATTGGAAGGGTCAAGGATTTTGGCTAATACTTAAGCAGATAAAGGTCAGAAGTCCTGAAAAAGGGTTTTTTAATGTATGGTGTTAGAAAAAGATTGCTGTAGAAAAAACCTAACCAAGGCCAGGCCACTATTGCCCCAGTGGTGGAGAGATGTTCTAGCATCCCACCTTCTCCCACTGCACTCTGGCTGTTGGACTGTGCTGCTGCCTGAGTTCCAGTGCAGCAACACAACTCTGTCCTATCTTCACAAAGAAAATCACTGCCCAGGAAATGGCAACTTGAGTGATGCCCCCATCACAGCAGGGGAGACAAAAGGCAGATGCTTTATGGGCAGGTCAGAATGATTTTAGTCCATTAAAACACTACTGCATATATTTAGGACTGCTTAGACCCTAAAATAAAATGGGAAAAAAAAAAAATCCCCTAAACCTGTGATTCAGAGCAGGGGCTCTAGGGAGCTGAACTTTGCTGCTTGCATCCACAAAATCTCACAGAAAAAGTCCCTTAAAGGCCAAAACCTGTGTGCCAATACTGCTGTGCCCTTAGCAGGGTGAAGACTAGAGACAGTGCTAATGAAAGCCCACAGGAAGGGAAGGCCCTGTTCAGTAGATTTTAGTTATGGGGCTAAGATGGAATATTCTCTTACATTTCTCTCACACACATGATCTGTAAGTGTGTGTGCCTGTGCATTTCTCTCAGCCCAGGCCTGTAAATTCCTGTTTACAAGGAAGGGATTTTTCACTGCCAGTCAGGATCAGGGCACATTCCTATGTCCAAATAAAAACACACTTATAGGTGCACAGCACATTTTTTTTTCTATTATTTGCTTTAAGGCTTGAAAATTTTCTCATACACCCATGCAATGTTTTTGTCAAAAAGGAAAGATATCCAGATACCTTTTATTTCACCTAGGAAAAGCATAAATGTGCAAGGATTTTGTCTGTTCTAGAAAAGCTATACAGAATTTTATGGAAAGTGTAATGTCTAAGAGAGCTACCCACTTATTGAAATAGAGCTTCATTAACTTTTGTAAGAGTAAGAATTACATTATATATAATTAAGGTAATAGAGATTCCTTCTTGTCTTACAAATGAAATCATTCTCTATTAATAATAAAATAATAATTATTTACTTTTGAAAGATGACAAATCAGTCCTCTATTGCAGATTTCATGCTTTGAAATAAAGTAATAGTTTTACAGAATTAGCTACAGTACAGCCTTTGAAAGATGAAGGTACTTCATAGCAAGTTTAAAATGGTAGATTTTACCCTCTTTTCTGTGAAATATTTTTGACATAGAACAAAGTTTTGTATCATCTTTTCTTTAGACAAAGAGTTTTTCCATAACAGAGCAGGGAAAGTAAAGAGGAGAGAGATTTATGCACGTGTTAGAACTTGATGGTGAAATCAATGCTTATTAAAGATCATAAAACAGTAGCTTAAAGTGCAAAGTTTCATTTTGGAAGTAAACTAAGGTGATGTCACAGCAATGGCATATAAGACTGTCTTTGATAATTAAAATCTTTAATCTTGAAACCAATGAGTTTTTCCAAAGCAACTTGGATGGGCTTCCACTAAGGTTTGCCAAGGTCCTTAAAGAAACTGTCTGCATTTTCCAGTGCTAGATTAGTGCTGTTTGGACAGCTCACTATTATTTTTAGGTTCACCCATTACTCAGAAATGCATCAGCTTTAATTTACTGTCAGTGCAACAGAAGCTGGTCAGGTATCAGGTTCTGGGGAGGAGAATGAGATATTGAGGAATTGTTAGAGGCTGAATTCCTTAAAGCAAGCATGACAGCTCCAGGTGATATCTTCACAGCTGAGAGTAATATACTCCTCAAACTGAAATGTTTTCTGAAATGATGCTGAAGGTGACACAAGCCAGCTGACTGCACACAGCATAGGTGGGTGGAGAGGCTGAGAGTGTTTGGATTTGGGTATTGAAAGGTCAGCCTTCAGGATGTGATGTAACCTGATTGAATGGGATAAGGCTTTGAACAACCAAGGAAAAGTTGAGAAAAGACTGGTGTGGCAACCATGCTTGGCATATCCAGATTTGTGGAAGTGGACCAAGTTGGGATATGCTACAGTTATTCTATGAATAATTAATTCTGTAAAAATATTCATGGTCAGATGGTCTTTAATCCTTGAATGATCTTCAGAAATTGCTTCTTGCCCAAATTATGAATTGATATTAATGATAACAACATATATTATAATTATAGTGTGCTTTTCATTCCAAATCATCCTTAGGCCTTTTACAGCATATGTATAATTAATTTTTGCTTCCCTTAAGCAACATTTAGTAAAGACAAGGGACTGTATTAGCCATTAAGAAAGGTAATCAGACCACTCTTCTGAATTCTCACCACTACACTAGCTTCTAAACCTTTTATGCAATCATTGCCTGGTGGCAGCAGTGAGGATGGAAAAGGGAGTTGGAAAAAGGAATTGGAAAAGGGAAAAGAACATCTCTTGTCATCAAAGGCAGTCCCAATGTCTGACAGTAACCACAGCAGCACTAACTAAATAAAAGTTAGAGAGCATGAGCATTTTAGAAGATAACTATACAATTGCAAAGCTAATGTGTGATTTCTACACTAAAATTCTATTTCAAAGAATATTTGGGATGATGCTGTTGATATAAGCATCTGCATCTTCACTATTGGATCCCTGGGAATTCAGAGTAACTGCTTTAAAGAATGCCATGTTAAGGTAATTCTGGTTTCACTGAACCTGCAGGAAACAGGCATGTTTTTTAAGTATGTTTCTACTGTTTGGACTACAATGACAGTAACAATAAAACTTTTGTGGCAGCACACAGTCATTCACCAAGTCAAAAAGACACAATAGCAATTATAGTATTGCCCTATTAATTTTTCCCATCAGAAACCACTCATAACATCAAGCAGTTGATCCTCTTTCCTGGACAAAAGTATCATCTGGCAACTGACAGCAAAGTAAGCATTAAAAGAAATCATTCTTGCCTTTTGAGGTGTGAATAACTCTATCTCTAAAGTTTTCCAACTTCAATACTCACTATTATGCTTGAAGATTCTAATAGTGGCACCTGAAAGCCTCGCACCGAGAACAAGAGAAGTGTGGTTCAACTCATCACTTAAAATGAGGCAGCCCTGTGGAGAAGGAGTACAATGAGCATCTGCATGAGCTGGGAGGCTGCTGACTCGTGTGCATGTGTGTGCCAGAATGCACACGTGTCTGTGATAGAGCATTGCACCAATTAAGCTGTAAGGGTTAAACATTAAATGAATTTTCTGCCACTTTCCTCAAGGCGCACTGCAAAGGCAGGGAAATAGTGGGATCAGATTCTCGGGCATCCCCAGGTGATGCATAGGGGTCCAATATTTCCTATAACTGGAAAGCAGCAAATAACCCTATTAAAGACTGAGTGCTTTATAGTAAAATCAGGTGATGTTGCTTCCTCTATCACCTGTTCACAGCCCATTTGGAGTTGTAAGGAAAATGCAGCCACCACCCCACATACAAAGACTGCATGCCAGTAGTGTAAGGAGGAATAATAGCGAGGCTGGCCTGACATCAGCTCTTCAGACTGCAGAAATGAGATGTGAAGAGACTGATGCCTTGTAAGTTCCACCTCCATTAAGATGTGAGTGAAGTTTAGGAACTTCAGAGTCTTTCTCTGGTAAATGCATGTAGAGTTGAGCTGTAGTATCCTTTTTATTAATTAACTTAGTTGAAAACTCCTTTTGCTTTTAGAAATGAAAATAGAAATGTGTGAGAAGTAAATTTGTCTATTATATTAACAAGGGGCAGAACTCACAGTTGAAATTCAAGCTTGAACACTTGTTTGGCTCTGCTTTCTATTGAACATGTTTTGCTGTGTTTCATTACCCAAAGGATAACACATAATTAAGCAAAAACTTATTCTGGAATCATAGATTAGGGCTAGGTTTAGAGATACTCACACAATCTCCATAGAGACTGGTTTGCAGCACTAACAGTAAGTGTAGATGCAGCTTGACAAGAAAATGTAGCTGCTAGTCTTAATTGTAGAGGAAAACATAGGAGTAAATCTATCAAACATAGGGTAGTCGAATAATATTTGTAATATATTTAATAATACATACCAAATTTTCAAATATATATATACACATATATTTGTTTATTAAAAATACATACAGTAATATCTTTATTTGTGCCACTTATATCTATCTCAGCTCTGACAGAGGCTTGAATCGCTACATGAAGCCAGGTAAGGGAGGGAAAATTATCATACAGCTAAGAAAAGTGTCACACACTGCATATCTCCAATTTCATAAATTTACCTTCATTAATTCTCTGTATCTGTTCCCCTTGAGACTGACTGCTGGACAAGTTCTCCAGCACCCCTGCAGACTGAAGTTCAAGCTGTGGATAACTGGAGCAACTCTCCCTGCCCAACGCTTGTGTACATGTATTTTAGAGATCTTGCAAAAGCTGCAGTCATCTTCAACAGAGAGTGAAGAAGTAACTTCACCTCTACGCTGGTGTTTCAGAGTTGCATTTGCTGCCAGATTTCTTTGCAGGGCTGGCTGGAGCACTGTTGACCAGGAATACTAAGCACTGTGCTTTTCCTTTTCTCATAGTGTTGTAAAAACTATCCTAATCATCATCTTTCATCACAGGCAGCTGGGCAAAATCTCAGCAAGTAGCCTAAATACTTCATCCCACAACAGCTGGACATGGGATTCAACATTTGGTTACTTCTTAAGGAGAAGCAACTTCATTAAGAGGAGCTAGAGAGCTGTATCACTGCTCCTTAAGCAGAAGTTAGGCATGTGCGATAGCAACACAGTGATAAAGGAGCATATTTAAAGTCACAAGGTCATCAGCTTTATGACTCACACATTCCTGATACCAAGCTTTGTTCCTTGATCAAGCCTTTCCACTCACTGAAAGCCCAGAGTACTGCAACAGTAGTTAAAACAATTAATAAACAATTGTTCTAGGTGTTCCTTGAAGGAAGTACTCACCTTTCCAACAAGGGCTGGAATATTCATTGAGTTAGTTGCAAAGCCCATGCCAAACACCATAGCATCTTCCACACCAAGGAACGTGGCCACAAGTTTCTCTAGTTCTACATGTTTGTCTAGGGTGCCTGCAGAAATAAGCACAGGGAATATTAAATCTGATTTAACTGTGAAAGTTATTATGACACAAAACATACAAAAGAACAGGCTAGAAGTGTGTCATCAAACTATGTGACTTTAAGTTCTAATGAGGGTTTTCCATTTGTATCCTGTCCATGTGGGCTAATGCAAAAGGTGCAAACCAGCTGTGACTAATGCTAACAAATACTGCTGTTAGGGCAGCAAAGCTGTTGCTATGGAAAAAAAGGTTCCTTTTCCCACAATAACTTTTGACACAGTTTATTCTGAAGACTAAGTTTTTGTCTTTTTCTCTCCTCTACAATGAGGACAAAAATATATTCTTTTTTGTAGGAAATATGGGACAAACATTTTAGGCATTCTTGAGTTCTCACCAGATGTGAAAAAAAAAAAGAGTGACAACAAAATTCTTCCTTTTCTATTGTCTGTCAATATACGTGTACAAAATTCTTAATTAGGATTTTATATGGATAGAAAAACAAAAGCATTCTCCATATTTTTCTGCTTTGGGAGGTAAAAGCTGTTTCACTCCCCATAACTGATGATAACTTTGCTCTTTCTTTCCTCTCAACAGCAAACATAAATGACAATGCAACAATAGAGACTCTTCTTTATTGCATATTAATTGTCTAATACTAGTGCTTGAAGTCTCCAAACAAGTAAGGGTCTCCAACTATCCAACAAAAGCAGTATCCTTCCTGCCCAACTCACAGTGAAGGATGACAAAATACAGAAGGCAAACAAAGCAAAGAGTGGTGTTAAGAGACCGAGATAACAGATAGCTTTGAACAGTAAGGAATCATCTCAACTTGCCAGCTCTCTAGTCTTTGGTTGCCTGGCTGTGCATTGCAGGACCAAGGCAGAAGGAACTCTTACAGGATGATCTGTGGGGAAGAAAAGAGAGTAGCCTGTGGATTCTGAGAGAGCACTTCCCCTATGAATAAGGCTGTAATCAGAGAACAGAAGAAAAAAACAGGCAAATGAATATGTTACCTCTCTTGCACTGCACAAGCTGATGGCACAATAATGTAAAGTGAATTACAATGGATGGAACAAGAAAGCTCTTTTCACTGTGGTGGACAAAAGGCAGATGAATGGAGGAACCCAGAGGCTTGGCTAGAGTGTCTCAACAAGAATGATGAGTCAGGATCTTATCTTCATCATGGAGCAGAGCTCATTAAAAAAATCAAATATAAATGGCAGGAGAACAGTTTCAGCAATAGCAATAAGTCAGCTGGTTACAGTGAAGGAGTGTTTCCATTATTTTTTCTCATTAAATATCTAAAGTAAGAATGACATCCATTTGGAAATAGAATGTGACAAGTATCTATCAGGCAGGCAGGTAACTCTCCAACTATCAGGGAGATAAGGGACAAGGATCATGTGGCTTCTTAAAAAACCTGGATCACACGGACAGTAAAGAACAGCAGTACTGCTGAGCTCTTGCCAGAGCTTTCCTGGGTAGTTCTAGACCTGAGCCTACTCCAGCACAGCTTCAAGAGTGTCTCTGCACTCCTTGTATCACACTGCATGTACCTGGAGCTGGGTTGTCTCTGTGCTCTGAGAATTAGGTAATGTGACACAGAAAATGTGGCTCTTCAGAAAATCCTCTACATGGGAGCTGAGTCTGTGTGAAGCTCTTTGAGGACGGCTAATGTTTGAATTTATACATCCCAAGACACACGAGGATATGAGCTGGCTCTGCACACAGCTGCTGTTTAGGACCCAGGTTCTGTGAAATACAAACCAGTGTTTCAGAGCTGAGCTGTTCACTGGAAATGTGGGTAAGAATCTTAAGGTGTAAGCCCAGCAGGACTCAGCATGTATTTCTGTGGTTCTGCATTTTTTGTGAATTGGGCCCAGCTAGTCTTCAACCTACAGCACTCATAAACAACTAAGAGTTCCAGCAGGATCAGCTGCTCAGTGCTCCCTGCAGATGTTATTTTGTCACTTGAGGGCTATCAGCACACCAAAAGAAGATGAAGTCTGAAATGGAAGCGTGAAGCCAAGCACACTATGGTCACAGCTTGAATTAGAAGGTTTGTGAAAGCATGAGAAACAAGCAACGTGTGATTTGCAAGGCAGGCATTTTAAGGCATGACACAATTGTCCCTGACTCTTCTAGGGATAAGTCTGACACTAGGGTGGAGTTAAATTGCTTTTTGGGGTTGCATCACATGTTTTCTGTTTTTATAAACAGGAAAGGCCTGACTCAATACAGACTGTTCTGTTAAAGCTCCAATTACATGACCAACAAAAAAACAGCACAATTTGCATCTATTTTTATTGATTTTGTCATGGTGAAGAATGACTCATTTTGATAGTGACTGATTCCTACTTATTATTTACTAACCCTAAGTGCTAATGCAGATGATACTGTACATAACTACTGCCTACAAATCCTGGAATACAAATTGAAATTGGTTAGCAAAACAAAATTCTGAATGGCAAAGATTTGCAAAATGAGCCCTGTTTTTGACTCATGTTAATTATCGTGTCAATATTGTTGGTGGTAAGTAAGGTGTTGCAGAAGCAATACAACACTGTCAGTGGGAGGTTCATGAGAGCTGTATACATTGAACAGAGTTGAAAAAGCACATAATCATGCAATGATTTAATCATATCAGGAGATATCTCTACACCAGATAACCTTGGACACTGTACATCAATTCTATCACCTCTCTCCACTGGAAGAAACAAGTGGTCAGACATGCACTGCTGGGATGAGGTTTGTCCACTAGCATTCCCAGTTAGTCACATCCACCACCATGACACACATAAACAGCACTACCAGACAGATGCAAATTTGATCCAAAGGAACTGGTACAAGCTGAACCATCTCAGCATTTCAAGCTACGTAACAAAGGCAGTAATTACACAGCTCTTCATTAAATACAACTTAGAGATGTCAAGTAAGGTTAGCTTGGCCCTTAAAATGTTTTGTATTGCGCTAGATTCAAGACCTGTATCATGATCTGATGAATGAAAAGTGATATATTAGATCAATCTTTTTAATACACTGCATACACAGATACTTTCTATGCTTGCTCTATAAACAGATATTAGAATTTCCCCGCTGACTGACTACTGCTTGGCTTGACCCAACAAATGAGGATATAGCTAAATAATGTACACCAAATCACCAGAAAAGACTTAAGACAAAAAAAGAAAAAGGTACCTGCATCTTTAAGAGACAAAATCCTTTTGAAAGTTATTCGTCCCTGCTGAACAGCTTTATCTAGCACAATACAGCAGGAGTTACTGTGATCCAAGACTATATAGGTATTAAGATCACAGATCATATCAAAAGTAGACTTTCACAATGAGAACCACCTCCACAGATTCCAACACTTCTCACAGCAAATCCCCTCCTTTTCAAAATCTGATGACCCAGTTCCCTCTATTAACTTGCCGCTGCACTCTGGTGACAGGGGACATGAAGTACACTGTGTTTTGACAGGATTTTTCATACACTTACCCATGCTGTTGAGCTGAAAGTCACTGCCAGATTACTAGAGAGATAAAGCTGGAAAATGGACTTCCCATGAGCCATAGAGTCATTAATTAGTTTGACACTTTCAGCTTGGACAAGGTGGTTCATGCCACTGGTTAGTCTGCCCAATACAGTCTTTCAGTTTCTTATACACTAATTACACAGGCTAGTTGAACTGCCAACACTGACTGCAGTATCCTGTAATAGAATTTTATGTTTGGAATTCTAAGACCCAAAGAAGAGAGGGAAATACCTGCTTGCCTCAGGTTAGACGAAAGCTGGAAGAGTAAACTGATACAAGGAACAAGCCCTTGAAAGAAAAAAGAACAGCTGAGAACCCTGTGCATGCCTGACGTGACTCACCAAGGGGACTGAGAACCATTACACTATGAAAATGAGGGTTTGTCAGCAGCATCCTTGGGATGGTGAGGAGCAGAACAGAACATCTGAACTTCCTTGTCACATTTGAAACTTAAGGTCACAAACTCACTCTGGTAAGATGCTTGTCACAGATGAAAAAATCTGTATTATTGAAAGACATACACGCTTTTACAAAAAGCAAGATTGGATGAGTTATTAAGAGCAACATGAAGAAACAGAAGCTGTGGAAATGATATTATTTCCTTACACTGTGTTACCAGAGCAGATGATGCAGATGGTATCACTGTCCTACAGACCCACTAGTAGAGGAAATCCTCAACTTGTAGAATGAGACTTGTTGGAAAGAGAAGGAGAAAAGCACACATTTAACACTGTGCAGAAAAGAATCCCCAAATAAGGGGGTTTTGATGAATCATTTGATAGAAAGGAAATGCTCAAGTTTTCTTAACAATGCTACCAACTGACAGGGCTTTCATACCACAGAGATGCCGTGGGTGTCATAAATCTAATAATGTACCTGTGTAATTTAGTGATTCTCAGGAAAGAAGTAGATTAGTTTTAACAGAACTTGCAGCTGAATTTAGATTTTGTGGTTTTGTTTCCTTTTTTTTTTTTTTTTTTTTTTTTACCTTTAGAAAAACATGAAGTTAAAATTTCAAGTGTAAATCCAGCATCTTTATGCCAAAGTCTATATGGCAGCATCTTAAGTATCTAAATATTTGCATGCAGATAACATCATATATCAGAGATACTTTAGGTATTAAACAAGTCACACAACCCTTAATTCCTATAGATGCCTTCAATTCCACCTGCTAGAAGATGGGCTATCCAGACTATTAATCTTGCATTGCAAAACATACTTTTGCAATGGTGAAATACAAGGAACAAACCTGACCCAATGATAATAAATTAAATAAAAGGATTAATTATTTATGAGTTATTTATAAGCTATATATATGTATTAGTTATTTATGAGAAGGTAGGCACAAAAAGGAAAAGGGTGTAAGTGGACATGACAAAAGAGAATTCTTTGCATAAATTGTTTCCTAATTTATACCATACTCTATCAGAAAATAGCTAGGGTTATGAAATATGTGTGTATATACACATATACAT